CTCTTGTGGGTTTCGTCCGTTTCACCTTCGCTTTCGGCCCCGCTCGCAGTCGCGGCACCCGCTCGCACTCGCGGCACGGCCGTCTGCGGGCCGCCGCCGCCCTCCTGCAGCGCCCAGTCCTTCGAGCCCCGATTCGCCAGCGCGCGCTCCGCGCCTCTGGCCCCGCACCCACCTCGCGAGGCAGTCCGCTCGAGGCACGCGTGGCCCGTCGCAGCGGTTCCCCCCCGGCTGTGGACGTCCCCGCCTGCCCCCGCTGCTCCTCCCCGGCATGCCCTGCAGGGCCCCCCCGCAGGATTGGTCCGCCCGACCCCTGGGCCAACCCCAGACATCGGGCGTGGGGGTTCTTCGGCATTTGCGGCCTCCCGAGGCCCTCGCCGGGCCTCGGGACCGTCAGCAAACGACTCGGGATGAAGAACCGGTCCTGGGGAAGCGGTCGGGAGGTCGGGGGCCCGTGTCTCGACAGAATCGAGGCGTCGGATGTCTGGGACCGATCTTCCCGGACCTCGGCGGGCAGTGGGTGTGCACACGCTCGGGCCCCCCTCGGGCCAGCATGGGGTCCATGTCCATCGCCTCCCTCCCCCCCGGGGGGTCCCAGGACGTCGCCTCCCCTGGCGGCGGATGTGGACAGGCCCCGCCCTCGCGCTCTCCTGCCCCTGCTCCTCCGCCTCCCCGTCCCGGCAGGGCCCCTCAGCAGGATTGGCCCGCCACGAGCGGGGAGGGAGGGAGGGGGCGGGAGAGGAAGAAATGGAGGCAGGAGGAGGGGGGAAGGATGGGGGAGGGAGGAGGAAGGAGGGAGGGGGAGGAGGCAGGGAGGGAGGGAGCGAGCGAGCGAGCGCGGGAGGGGGGGAAGAGTAAGATTTAGAATGCGAGTAAGAGTAAGAGTACGAGTAAGAGTCAAGCTAGCCAGCTCGAGCGAGTCAAGCATGGCATGCCCAGTCCCACCCGCCCTCCCACAACATAAGAAGCAAAGCTGGCACAACTGGCGGCCGAAGTCACACCGGCCAGCCGGTTTGGTAAAGCTGATGCGGCCGCGATGGCGGTTGCCGACGGGAACTGGCGAGCGCGTGTTGAATGCCGCGCACGCATTGCCAGACGAGTCGAGAATGGCCCGGTACACCGCAGGAAGCCAGAGGTGGCCGGAGGAAGCCCGACGGTCTGACAGGACACCCCAAAGCATTTTTGTGAAAAGCATTAGGTTTTTGATGTTTTTATGTTGAAATGCTTGCAAACACACGGTGTTCGGTAGGATTCTGACATGAACGCGCGAGTGTGCTCTTTGTGGTATTTTTTGCACAGGATTCGCGGCCTGGGTGCATGACAGAGCATCGCGAGTGCACCGCGCGATGACGTGAAATCGCTGGATTTGACCGAATTCTTAAGATTCCTATGGTTTTCCTATGATTTCAGCAAGAGAGCCCGGGCGGGAAATTTGTACAATTTTTGTGAAAAAGCATTGGGTTTTTGATGTTTTTTATGTTGAAATGCTTGCAAACACACGGTGTTCGGTAGGATTCTGACATGAACGCGCGCGTGTGCTCTTTGTGGTATTTCTTGCAATGGATTATCGCCGTGGACGACAGGACGTCCATGTCGAGAGGAAAAATAAGAAAAATGTTGATTTTGTATTGTTTTTTACAGGTTAGGATGGGACCACCCGGATGCGCCCGCTATCTGCCGGCCTGAGGGGGGAGTAGGAGTATATTCTAATAAGGAATAAGGATAAGAGTCCCTGGGCGGATGTCCAGAAGAAACGCTTAACAGTGGAGCCCCTTCTGTGCTCTGGAGGCCTTCTGGGTCTGACTGTAGACCTTGGGCCACAAGGATTCACGAATTCGGAGGAGGAGGAGGAGGAGGAGGAGGAGGAGGAGGAGGAGGAGGAGGAGGAGGAGGAGGAGGAGGAGAGGGAGGGCGTCCGTAGCCTGTTTGACTCAAGTTGAACGCTCGGAGCCCTGGGGGCTTCAGCTTGTAGGCTCCCCGCGCTTTCTTGACAGTGCAGGCCTGCCTTTCCATTTTGCGAGCTCATGCATGAGTGTTCGGCCCATTTGCGTGCAGCCAGTTTGCACGGGCGGGCGTCCGTCAGTTCGAAGGATGTGATTTTGGGACCGAAGAAGCCTCTTTGGCATTGCACGCGATGCCGTCGCTCTGGGAATTGGACGTCTCGGATCAAGTGCGCTTGCGGCACGCAAGTCTCACAAGCAACCCAGAAGGCGGCCAAAGCAACACATGAGAAGATCGTGACCCAGGGTGCAGACAAGAAGGCTGGTCCACGATGTCAGCATGTCAGTGGCAGTCTGGGGCCCCCAAGATCGACGCTGCGCTGCAGATTACCCTCACGCACATCGCGAGGGTTTGGAGAATGGCAGTTCGCCATCGATCCCTCCATGGGCATCTTCAACCTCGTCAGGTGCCAAAGAGGATGATGGCGCTAAGAAAATCCAAAGACGGCTGGCGCACTGGCAGAAGGCTGCAATGCTTGGTTGGAAGTCACCGAGAGGATGAGCAAGTGGCCGAGGATCGGGTGGTGAAGCTGCAGAGGCAAGTCTCGGATGCGGAAGCCCTCCACATACAGCAGCACTTCATCATCACGCGCTTGGCACGAGCACGGGATATGCCAAACAAGTTGACGACGAATTTGCAAGGCATCCAGCAGGAGGTCGAGGATACCAGCTATCTGTTGTATGACACACCCGCCGATGCTGAGCAGGCGCTGCAGGAAGCAACGCTCCAGTTGGAGGTTCTGGAGCTTCGCCAAGTCGGTGGCGGCGGCTGAGGGCCTTTTTCACTTCAGATGGAAGAACGCCAGCTCATCAACGTGTCGGATGAGTTCGACGTAGGGTTCCACACAGAAGCACAAACGACCAGGGAACAAAACACTTCACGGTCGTGCTCGGTACGCTTGAGGCCTAAGTCATCTCTGCTCGCAACGGTGCTGTGCTCCTGCTGTGCCTGAGGCGGGTGACGGATTTGATATGGAGATCGGCCGCGATCAGTTGGGGAAGTTCGCTGAAGTCACTCAGTGAGTGCAGGAGGCAGAGAAGGAGCAGCTGAAACTGTTGAACGATCAACGTGCGAAGCTGCATGCCCCGCCCTCAAGGAGGCGAGAGAGACGCTGCATGAACACATTCGAGTTAAAGCAGAGAAGAGGCAACGCATTTGACGAGACGGTCGGAGTCAGGTTCGAGGTGTACTGCAAGTACATCAAGTCCCTCATGCTCACTGTCAGGATCGCGGCGAGTTCGCGTTGAGCTCATCGCAACATGTTCGCGGCAGGATCCTCAACAGCACCTGCGCACGTCTCCCTTTCTGGTCGAGAGGACAGCTGTTCAGTCCAGTAGTGATGCGCAAGCAGCTTCAGCCAGTGCGTATCAGGAGGGGGAAGTTTGGAGGTTCGAGGGGTTTCAGCGCATGGTCCTCGCGTTCGAGCTCCTCCGAACAAAGGGAATTGTTCTCGAACTCCGCCCCTCGGCTTCGAGCATGGCGATTGTTGGTGTCACTTTTGACCAAGCCGGTGCTGTGCATCGGGCGAGGTTTCAATTTCAAGTTCTGGTCGGAAGCAAATCAGATTTTCGAATGGATGAAGACCTGCTGCACCCTCATCTTAGTGTACTCCGATTGAGGACCTGGTCCAAGCGATCGCGGCCACTGATGGTCGCGAGCTTGGCGTTCTGCTGCCGGCAGCCCGCTCGACCCAGGATCGCTTGATGGCCGAAAACTCGCGTGGGCAATGGTCGAAATTGAAAGCCACTAGGGGAAGCAAGGCGGCGCGCGCCTATTGCGAGGAGAAGATCTCCTACGGCGGGACCTCTTACTTCGGATGCGTGGGGGCTCCTGGGGGACGAGGCGATTGGGGCGATCAAGCAGGGGTTAAGCTTGGTAACAGCATCGTTCTGGACGCACTCACGAGCAGATTCAGCTAGGGAAGAAAGCTGCGATCCTGGAGATACCCACTCGGCAGAATATTCTTTGGGCCCACAATTGTTTCCATCGCGGCTCGGGACTTGGGGCTGATGATCTGAGACCGCGTTCCTGGAAGGTTTGCCACTTGCGTCCCTGGATCAGTTGGTGGACATTCTGATGTCTTGGGAGAGGGCCCCCTTAGTGTTTCCCAGCGTTTTCCCTGCCATCATCGCCTATCCAGCTAAGCCATGAGGTACTGGATTGCGCCCGCTGGCTTTTCTATTTTCGCTATTCATGTTCTGGGGGAGGGCTCGCCAGTGTCAGGTAACCGCGTGGAGACTCAGCCACGTTTCATTTTGTTTGAGGGTGTTCGCGGCATGGGGCGTGGCCGTGCACGCTGGCAGCATGCGATGCTCACGGAGTTTGCGCGAGGCAAGCAATTTTAAATTGTGAGTCTGTGCTTGGGCCTTGATAAGTTATCCGGCACAGTGGCACCAGGAGCAATTTCGAACATGCTAATGCAGGGGGTTTTCATCTAGGGCTCACGATGTTGGCAATTTCTTTGTACGCAGGTCCTCGTGCCATGGCGTTTGCTGGTGCCGTGGTCGGCGTTTTCTCTGCCACGTGCACCATCTTGGCAGGATGCAGTTTGGCCGCCAGTTTCGCCGAGATCGTGCCCCGTCCGTGCCGTGTGCTGTGCGCGCTGGCAGCCCTCAGGGAGGCTGTGCCCAGGCGGTGGCTGTCGAAGGACCCGGGACCAGAACCGCAACGCCCGGGCACCCCCTGAGTGACGGGGGTGGGGCCCACTCGGGTGCCCCCAGGTCTTGTCAGGGAGGGAGGGAGGGAGGGAGGGAGGAACGGAGTGAGGTAGGGGGAGGAGGAGGAGGAGGAGGAGGAGGAGGAGGAGGAGGAGGAGGAGGAGGAGGAGGAGGAGGAGGAGGAGGAGGAGGAGGAGGGAGGAGGAGGAGGAGAGGAGGAGGAGGAGGGGGAGGACGAGGAGGACGAGGAGGAGGCGGAAAAGGAAGAGGAGGAGCATGAGGAGGAGGAGGAGGAGGAGGAGGAGGAGGAGGAGGAGGATAATTTGAGGATGATAATCGTGGAGGGGATAAGAGGGGGTATGGGGCAGGTGGGAAGTATGGTGGGATGGTGGGAGGAAGGGCGGGAGGCAGGATGAGGAAGCGGAGGAAGGAGGGGAAACTCATGTGGACCGGACCAAAGATGCGGTTGCGTGACAAGCCAGGAGGCTTTGACGCTGTTATTTTTTTCATCTTCCTACCCAAGCACATCCATTATTTGCTGTCCCTTTTCAGCTCAACAAGCGCGATCACCACAGGCTCACGTATCCATGTTATAAGACGGTCTGGTGTGCCATGCCAGCGTTACGCTGGCAATCGTACTTTTGCAGCCGATGCCACGGGTCTCGATGACCCGTGTGGCCCGATCCGCGGGCCATGTCGTCCAGCGCAAACGACCACGCCTTTGCCCTAACAGCTCACCATTACCGAAACACGCTTTGGGTGGTGCGGAGTACGATTGGCAGGAGGAGGACGACAAGGACGAGGATGGCGAGGAAGAGGAGAAGGACGATAGCGATTAGGAGGAGGAGGAGGAGGAGGAGGAGGAGGAGGAAAAGGAGGAGGAGGAGGAGGAGGAAAAGGAGGAGGAGGAGGAGAAGGAGGAGGAGGAGGAGGAGGAGGAGGAGGAGGAGGAGGAGGAGGAGGTGGAGGAGAGATGGGGACTCGGACGGCATTAGGGGCATGACGCAACGCCGTCAGGACAAGCCGGCGATCCGCTCGCAGTTGTTCCCGTCGGCGTAATCAGGGGGGAGATGTTTCGAGCAGCTTGTGCGCGAGGGCTGAGGCCGCGGTGCTGCTCCCTCACTTCCTTGTCTGGGGGTGCAGAAATGGCACGCTTCTTCCACCTCCAGCGGCCCCGCCCTTTCTTCCCCCTCGTCCTCGTCTCCTCGTGTCCTCCTCTCCTTTCTGCTCCTCTCCCCTCTTTCTCCCTGTGGCTATTGAGGGCCACAAGGAGGCGAAGGAGGAGGAGAAGGAGGAGGAGAAGGAGGAGGAGAAGGAGATGGTGGAGTAGGAGGAGGGGGAGGAGGGGGAGGAGGAGGAGGAGGAGGAGGAGGAGGAGGAGGAGGAGGAGGAGGAGGACCTTCGACCATTTTTCTCTGGCGGGCCACCCCCTGATGGACAGGGACCCAATGGCATGGCCAGGCTCTTTCGGGGGAAGTCGTCCCACTCTTCGGCGGCAGCCCGTGAGAGAGGCGCGGCAGCACTCACCCCCGCCTTGGTCGGGGGCCGATGCGGGGTCACGGGGTCACGGTGGAGGGACAGGCCTCCGCCAACAGCTGGGCAGTGTCTACACACAGTACCGCCCGCACGTGCTGCAAAACAACACACCCTTTGCGCAGTCCAGGGTGTTGGAGGAGTGGGCCCTGGGGAAAGCACGATGGGAGCGGGTCGCTTCAGGGCCCGCCCGCAATGGACGGGTTCCACAGTGCTTCCCAGGGCTGAATTCACCAAGTTGGTCACGGAGCGCCTGAAACTCTCTCTTGCAGAATTGGCAGCAGAACATTCCTTTCACCAGAGCAGGCGCGTGCCCTGCAGCAAGCCGCCTTTGCCGACGGACAGCGTCGGCAGGGAGGGACCTGGGGCGAGGCGGCTGCCTGCCGACACGGTCGTCCTTATTACGAGAGCACGCGAGCGCCACCTCTCTGTTGACTTCCAACAGACGGCGCTCGAGGACGCATACTCAGGTATAGCAGCGGCCACCACCAATAGAATCAGCAAAGAAATTGAACAAAAAACGCTCGGCTTCGCTGAGGCCCCAAGCAGCACACATGGACGAAGTGGCGTTGGCCTTCGTCCCGACCAGCTTGACTCTCCCTGATCTGCTGTCGAGACGATCCCAGATCCAAGCCTACAGGTCCAACATCGGCGAACTCGCCGCAATCAAAACGTCAAGCCACCCGAAGGCCCGCACAAAAAAAAGGTATAGTCCGACTGTGCCACCACGTCGCCGACGCCGTGGGTGAGCAGCACGAGGAGGGCGGAGGGCTCCGCCCTCGGACTACTCTGCTTCCGGGTGGGAAGCGTGCCACGCAAGAGCCCATCGAACCGAACATCACCGGACCGCTTTTTTTCCCGAGCCGGGCAGCCGACCACCCGCACATTTTGCGGCGCCAACGTTTTGTATATGCACCACCAGAGCTATCCAGGCCCCTCGTGCCACCTTCACGGATTTGCCCCTGATCCAGAGCTCTCCAACCAAACGTAAGGGAGGCGGGCGGCGGGATGCGATGCACGGCGGCAGCCACTGCAGGTAAACCACGCGTCCAGAATCCGTCATTTGGGCACGCAGTTTTGGCCTCTAGGGCGTCTGGACACAACTGCTGGGAATCGTGCGTGGGGTCCGTATCAATGTCCGCGTTGCAACGGCAAGGCTGGACCCGATGCATCATCGTTTCTTGCGCTGCTCCGCAGCGCTCGCTAATGCCAGAAGAACGATCGCCAGCCAGCCGAAGCCGAGCTTCAGGCCAACGCGCTGCAGAGACGATGAAGCACAACAAGGCTGCATCTGGTGGGCCCCTTGGTTGATGAGCTGGGAGTGGATGCGACGGAACACGGTGAAATCGACCCCCTTCTCGAGTCCCATTGCACAAGAATGTCTCGCAGCATCACCCCAAAACCTGTTCCGAAACCGTCTCCTGAACGCACTCCTCCAACTGGAACAACAAATTAGTGGCATCAATATTCAAGACCCGACCCGGGGTTGCCCACCTGGTAGGTGAATCAGGTGCCCATCCTAAGTCAAGCAAGGTGGTGATGACAGTTGCAAAGGGACCTTTCGCGGTCCTCCGTCCACGTTTAGCGGGCAAAGAACAGCTGACCACGAAAACAGTGACAAGCTTTCACTTCTCCCACGCTGCATGTCGACAGACATACCGTGCCAAACATTCGCCAACGCTTGCAGCTGCGGCTGCTCACTCCTGTTGGCAGAATCGTCCTTTGATTGGCGCCGAATCGCAAGCACGGTGGACGTACAACATCCAGACGTCCAGCGTCCTGAGGCATTTCTCAGCAGAGGCTCTGCATGTACGAACTTCGGCTAGGGGAAGGCCTACCACGCTGTAGCACCAAGTTCCAACGCCGAGGACCACATGCTCGGTGAGCTTACGGGGGCGCCCGTAGAGCCTGGCCAGGCATTGCAATTTCAAAGCCCTTCGATACGCCATCCTCCTCTCAAGCCTGACCTTGGAAGCACATCTCCTCCTCCCAGCATTCATCATGACTCCAAAATCTTTGACCGCCTCCGAAGCCTCCGTTGGGATTCCCAGTCTCCAAGACTGAGCCTCCAGGTCGCGCGCGAGCTTGGCGTTAGACACGACCATTGCACTCGTGATGGAGACCTCACCAACTGTGGATTTGGCGTCCCGACACACGATCGAACCACGAATCCGTAGAGGAATGTAGACACGCGAGGCATGGCTACGTTCTCAAACATACCCGATTGGGCCACAGACAACTGTAACGTTGAAGCCGTCGGTCGTGATGTACCGTGTCAGGGATTGTGTTGTGCTGTGCCGTGTTGAGATGAGATGTGGCATGCCGCGGTGAATTGCGTTGTGCTCTAGAATGCTGTGGATCAAGTCGCCCTTGGCATCCGAATCCTGACCACATTGATGTGGATCTTAAGCTCGATCTGCCTGAGCGCATAGCTGGCCCAGAGCTGGTTTCAGTCGAAACGTGTGGGACGCTGCATCAGCTCGAGCTCATGACCGGATTCGGTTCCAAAGCGGGACGATATTGCACGGGGCGCAGGGCGCACGGACGCGCCACGGAATGTGCACGGGGCGCACCAGGGGATGCGCCAGGGGACGCTTCAGGGGACGCGGCAAGGGACGCGCCACGGAACTGGCAGGGACCGCGCCAGGGGACACGCCAGGGAAGACGACAGAGGACGAGGCAGGGGACGGGCCGAGGGGGGTGGGGTGGGGGCATACGTCGCCCCGCCCTGGGGCGCCAGGAACCATGTGTTTTTCACGCTTGTCCCGCTATGGGGCGTCAGGAGCCCATGTGTGTTTCACGCCTGTCCCGCTCGGGTGCATTAGGAATCCGCGTGGTTCCACGCTTGTCCCGATCTGGTGGGGCGGGAGGACCCCACGTGTCGACACGCTTCTCCCGCTCTGGAGCGTTAGAAACCTGTGTGCTTTCACGCTTGTCCCGGTCTGGGACGTCAAGAAACCATGTTCTTTCACGCTTGTCCCGCTCTGGGGCGTTAGGAGCGCATGTGTTTTCACGTTTGTCCCGCGTGTTGGCGTTAGGAGCCCATGTGTTTTCACGCTTGCCCCGCGTGTTGGCGCAAGGACCCCACGTGTTTTCACGCGCTTCCGCACTCCCAAAAGCATCCTGGGCCGCCGGAGCCCCCCAAATCTTGCAGAACAGCCGTTTCGCCTTGGACATTCTCGAAAACTCTTCGGGTAGGGCACGCGCTCCTCAACCGGGTGCGGACAAGCATTCAGATTTGGCAAATTTCTGCAAATGTCTAGGGCCTCCAGACCTTGATTTATGGAGGATTCGGCGCGAAACGCTTTGCATCATATTTTTTTACGGAGGAAAGCAGGGGTCTGCGGACCCAGTTGTTTATTCGAGGATCCGAGATGGGGGTCGCATTTTCCTCGAGCGGGCACGTACGAAACGTAGTTCTTGTTGTAAGCAAAATCAGCCTTCACCTCGTTTTCGATCAAGCGGAAATTTGTCGGCCCTCTTCGAATTTGGCGATGGGGACGGGTTTACCAATCAAAAGACGACCCTGGGCCGACGCCCTTTCCAGAAAAAGATATGAGGACGACCTGATGATCAATTTTCAGTATGTATTTCATGGCTCCATGCGTGACGTCATCCACGTACGATGTCATAGGCATGTGAGAATCAGGATGAGGCGCGCGACGCATAAAGTCCCCTGCATTTTTGGAACCGCATCTGTGGCCGAAAGTTGGGCTAGAGCTATCGGACCATGCGTTCCCCCAGCTGTCGTTGAAAAATGCTTCGGGGAACACGTGAAGAAGAGAATGAGGAGAAAAAGGAAAAGGGAGTAGGAGGAGGGAAGAGGAGGAGGAGGAGGAGGAGGAGGAGGAGGAGGAGGAGGAGGAGGAGGAGGAGGAGAAGGAGGAGGACGCGTCTTGGAAGCCTCTTGTGGCACTCTGGGGGTCTCATGGGAGCTTCCTGGTGGCCTTTTGGAGGCCTCTTGGGGGCCTCCTTGGACCTCTTGGGAGCCTTGGGGGGGCTTGTTCGGGGCCGCTTTGGCCGTCTTCGGGCGTTCCTGGCCCGTCTGACGCCGTCGGAAGCCGTCTTGGGTGCCTCTCTGAACCAACTTGGGGCCCTCTTGTGGCGCTTTAGGGCTGTCTTGGAGGCCATCTTGGGCGTCTTGGAGGCTTCTTGGGCCTTCTTGGGGCCCTCTTGGGGCCGTATTGGATACGTTTTGGGCCGTCCGTCAAAAACCGAAGGCAAATCCAATATTTTTGGCATCTGCGGCCCTCCTGGAGGACCTCTTGGAAGCATCTTGGGCCGTCTGGGAGGCCTCTTGGGGGCCACTGAGGCCGTCTTGGGCCGTCTGGGTGACCGGCGCGTTGTGCCGAAGGTCCAGGGGGGGTTAAAAGAACCAAAAACTTGTCAGAACGTCCAGCACGCAGGGCACGCTTGTGGCAAGCCGACAGGGGGCGGCGGATGACGGAAAGCGCGCGAAGCGTCGCGATCCGTTAGTAAGGGTGGGGTGGGGGGGGTAGGCAGCCCGACGGTGAGATCTATTGGCCCAGATTTCTAC